TTTTTTTTTTTTTTTTTTTTTTTTTTTTTTTTTTTTTTTTTTTTGGAAAACATTTCTAATCGTGTATAGGAAAATAAAAGTTAGCGTCGAAAGCGACGGTGAGTACATTTGTCGATTTATCGTATTGATAAAACGAGAGAGAGGCTTTGGCACATCGTAAAGTGTACATTACAGGCATCGTTGCGAGGAGTTTGAGAAATTTTATTCCCTCTGGCTCTTCGCCTCTGCTTCTCTTATATACATGGTGTACATAAAAGCAGCTCCGAACATTGAAAATGTCGTGGGTCACTGAATTGATAATTTTAATGTCCCGATTAAATGTGCCGAGCCAAAGGGGATTAGACAAAACACGCGTACACACGCGAGGGAGAGTGTTTTGTAACTGCACGGCCGTCGTATCGTCGTATACGATTTGTGAGGAGAACATCAAATTCACATGTGTACGCGAGTGTGCGTCCGTATATGCACACAAGCATCCGAGACGAGCAGATTGCGGCGCCAGCTTGTTTTTTTTCTTCTTCTGTACGTGACGCTAAAACGTTGCTAATAAGCCTTATCGACGTGCTTGTTGACACTGAGTTATATTTGTCCGATCGCTGTGCCTTTTTTTTTTTTTTAATTGATCGGCAATCGTGAGTACGAATGGTCTTACATTGAGACATATACGTATGTATTTTTTTCACAAGTACGGAACAACTCGTCAGTTTCGCAAGTCATGTAGAGTATGAGAAAAAAAGAAAAATCAATTTTTCTCATCGTCAGGCTCCATTTGCCGATGAAATATTCATGCGGATCGGCTCGAGTCTTTTATCGAAATGGAATCGACGCGAAACAACTTACGTGCGCGCATCAGCCTCGATCTCCTTCCCCCCCTTTTGTGAAAACGACGCATATGTCACGAGAGCCGATAACGCGAACGAGCTCCCTCGCGGCACATAAACATTCCAATAAATTAGCGCTCAGCTGACCCGCGACTCGTCACCTCGGCGACAACGGCTGCTCTTCTCTCGCTTGCATGTACAATCGGTAATGACGCGAAATGGTGACAGCAGCGCGTGTTTGCTCGATCGGGACGAGGGAGGAGAAAAAAAACCCAGAGGCCATCGGATAATGCGAGACCGCTACACTATTATTTTCACTATTTTCTGCCGATCTTCGTGAATTTACTAAATTGTCGATAAGTACAGGCCGCGTGACCACGAATAATCGAGTTATTTGGCACGCGCTCTGTAGGTATACACGTGACGGGAAAAGTCGGAGCTCGTTTGCACCTTGTGTACACGGCGGCGCGACAACGGGATGCTATATGTACGAGCAAGCTGTACCGCGGGCGAGTCGCTTCCGTGCATACGTAAGGGAAAGAAAAAAAAAAAAAAAAAAGGAAGCGCAAAGAGCACACAGGTATACCTCGGGGAAAAATATATGATACAGTGTCGTAAGTCGTCGTCGCGGCACGCGCACCGGAAGTGCGTCAACTGCGGCACGGGACTTCGATCCCGACAGCAAAGTAGCTTCATGCCCTTACAATACACAGGTACCTACCCTCGTACGTGACTCGGGGAACAGTGCGTCCTCTATTTTCCGCCGGACGCCCGGTGATTTCGAATTATCCCCATGTGTGTACCTGTAGCACCGGTGAACGACAAAGCTCATCGATTGGTACGCGTGTCCCCTGGATCGAGAGGTTTTTCTTTTGTTGCACGAGCCTTTGATACGAGATAACTTTGGTGTATATAATAATATACTCACTACAATACGTGACCTCTCGATGTTTAAACCACGTATACTTTTATCGCTTGTCTCAAATACTTCATGTACGTGCTGGAGACGGAAATTAATTACGCAACTAGCCAACCACTCGCTCATCGCGTGATCCTCGTGTTTTCGACAGTTTAGGTTTCACAGAAACATCACACGTCTCGCGCAACATCTCTGGTTTGACTTTTTTTTTTTTTTTTTTTTTTTTTACATATACATCGCAGGCGTTCGTTGATTCCCAATGAGGAGGCGATAATTAATTAACCCGAGGCCATGCTTATTGCGTTCGCTCCCCTTTCATTCAAGAAACAATAACCTGGCGCTTTCGCGCGATTATTTTCCCCCTCGCCATCGTCCCTCTGCTGCGTGAATTTACACAAAGTGAGTCTCCCGAGCACCGATCGTTTATCTTAATGTGCCTCTGAATTCTCTCTCTTGCTTTAGCTTTCGTGGTCGTGCAAATCAATGACTCGCGTGCAATCATTGTCGCGGTTTTTCGTGATTTCTCATTGACTCGGGGACTCCGCAAAGAGAAGGCCTTTTTTTCCAAAAAAAAGTGGTGACTCGCTGCACTGTGACGGAGTAGTCCGGAATGACGAAAAGATGAACTACTACTACAGTCGTATATTAAAAAAAAACTCGAACGTTGGCTCAGATAGAGCTTTTCTCCGGCTCGCAAGCACAGAGTTCTATGGCGAAATGACCGATCAAGTACAGTCTATACACCATCGTCTCTATTCTCGACGCACATCGTCTCGAGAAAAAAAAAAAAATAAATAAAAATAACACACGCGCGCACAGTACATATACGCAAACAGCGTCGGGTTAACGGTTCGGCCTTTCCGGACTTGCGGCCCTGCTGCTTCCGGAGGACATATAGGGTATACACGGAGACAATGGGCGCGTTACAGTACAAGCATGCATATGTAGAGGCGAGATCGCGGGTATGGAAGCTCACGTATTTAATAAGCGTGTCCCCATGTGTATACATATACACGTTGGCTGTGATACCTACTTGTGTATACACGCATACTTCTGCTACGTATGTATGTCGCCGCTGTATTATAACGATTGTCGCACGTGAGCGGATTCGACGATTACCCGTGCCTTAGTCATCGTCGTGTGGATTTGGTGCGTTGTATGTATACCTAGTCTCCGCGTAGCCGAAGGAAGTCCGACGAGGGGTATGTGGATCAGGGCTCTATACTTCGTATCGTACGGGTAAAAAAAAAAAAAGGAAATCAAGGATGATTTTTTTGTTTTCGTGGATCGAAAGTTACGGATTTTCCAGCCTCGCACTTTCGAGCCGGGGATATAATATATTTATATAATATGTGTATAGAGACGAAGGAAAAAAAAGAAAGGGCTTCGGTGGAGTTATATCGAGTTCATAAACCAGTAGCGTTCGGTGTGTACGTATATATATACATTATGATTCCCGAGAGCCGTAGATTATCGCGCGGCGCGTAACACGTGTATTTATTCGAATTAATTGATTCGATTAGAATGCTAATTCCCGGCTTAATTAATTTTTGCTTTTAGCGAAATCGAGACGTCGGTGATTTCTTTTTTTTCTTCCATGCTCAGCCGTAGAGTTATTTACAAGCAGCTGAATGATGGAAAACCGGGTTTTTATACATACCCTCTCTCTCTCTCTCTCTCTCTCTCCGTGTGTCATCGTCGCAGAAACAACAAGCTCGGAGAGCCGGTTTTCTCGAGTACAGTGCA